AAACGCTATTCCCGATAGTACGCCTGGAACTGGTACAACCGTAAACGCTATTCCCACTCGTCGCTATCATCCGATAAACTATGGCCATGGGTATTACCCTAATTATGATAATCAATATGATGCTGCAGCTGCTTTTGGTAATGGTGATGATGATGTCGCACATTCATCACATATCTTTGAGCCCGACAGACAATTCGTACACCTCACTGATAAAAACGGCGAGCCCCTGATATTGATAGCGCCCAACCGGAAGCCAATAAGACGTCGTCCCGGTTACACCTACTACAAATCACAGCCGCAGGCAAATCAGTTTATCCCAAGCTTGACTCCAGTTAATTAAACTAGAAAGTTATTCGCATATTTCTGATTGACGAAATGAGATAATAAAGATAACAATTGTAATTAATTGAACGACATTAGAGTAAGACTCTATAAAATCATTTGCTGGGTGCAAACGTCAACTCAGTCTCAAGTAGAACTTGAAGCTAAACAGTTAGCCCAGGGACAACAACAAGAATGTTGATCAACTCCGTTTTCCTGCTAGCGCTAACTGCTGGCTCCACTTGGGCTACAGCCTTAAGGACTGTGGATTATACCATCCACATGCCTGTTTGGGATGTCAGCGGTAGCTACGCGCGTCTGGTTAAAGTTCTGAAGGCTCCATCGCGTCGATGGTCGATACATCAAAAGTATTTCCAAGTACCCAATGATGATCACAGTGATGACTATTACGATGAATCGGACACATGGAGCAACAAAATGACAGCATTTTCGAAGCCAATGCATTTGTTCAACTATCGTAATCGCAAAACTACAACAACAACAACTGTACCGCCCATAACAAAGCCAACACCGACAGTAGCATCCACTGAAGACGCCACGATGAATCCGATGCTGAAGGAATTAAAGTATACTCTCTCAACTTATCTATTCCATCCAGCCTCATTGCAATCGAAGAAGAAGCACAAGAAGCAACGCCCACACCCAAAGGAAACATCGACTGAATATAAACTTAGCCTCGCATCGCATTCAGCGACTCTCCTGTGCGACTTCAGTCGACGTCAGTGCCGCCTGCCCGATGATGTGCAATTGGTGAAGCTCCAACAGCCTCTGGTATACGCAACACCCGGCAACAAGATGCAGTCTCAGCGATATTTGGCTAATACGCAGCTCTCTCCTCGTCACGTTACGTCGATGTTTTATTGAGTTCGGTTACGCAATGCAGCTCATTAAACTAGAAAGTTATTCAAGCAATCTATAAATAACTGCAACAACAGCAATGATAACAATTATAATAATAATAAAGCGTTTATTTATTGTCCTAATCTCTTAGCTGTGACTCTTTGATAGACGTATTGTTATCGCATCGAGCACCTGTATAAATTCACTTCAACGATCGCCTTAGAGGCTCAGTTTTGCTCCATGGCAGTTCGTGCGAAGATATAAATGTTTGGCCATACCCTGTGCTTAGTGTTGCTAGCGGCTAGCTCAGCTGTCGGTACATCGCTTCGACGCGGTGAATCTAGTGCGCCCGCTTTGGATCTAAGGGATGCCTATATGCAGCTAAGGGATGCCTTTAGAGGAGCCTCAATAAAAATACATCTATACGATGACAATAATGACGTTGAAGAGCAAGATCGTGACGATTATTACTATCCAGTCAGCTGGAATTATTCGGCTAAGCCTATTGGATCACCCTACCCAATCCCTTACCCCTATCCAACAGCAGAGACACCAACAGAGCCACCAACTATGCCCACAAAGCAAACTTTTCTTCGTCGCATATTCAACAGACCAAAACAAGCATCGACAAAAACACCCAGAAGACGTCTGATCTCCCATCTCTTTCTACCCAATAATATATTTAGCGTTACTGAAGCGTAATGCGATTTCATTAGTCTAGTTATTTATTGCATTTATCTAAATGTTTGTATAAATCTTATCAATATAATTGCAGAATTTTGAATTTCTATGTAATTTTTGTTTGGGTGTGTTTTCTGTATAAATTCCATTCGTATTTCTCTTGGGTCTGTGAAGTGCAGCCATACTGGCTGAAAGTTCCTATGGCTTCTTTGGTTCACTCCCTAATGGATATATTTACATAAATGACGCCCGCCTGTTCCACAAAGCCGCCTCAGCAGCTGCCCCTCCTTCGTAGTATTTCTTGGCTATAAGATGTGCCAATGAATTAATCTTGCGGAAAATCCAAAGAACTCTCCCCACTTTTCAGACGGTGGTAACCTTAAACGCTTTCGCATGCGCACAGCGGTGGTCGCTGGCTTCATCAAGTGATAATTGTTTCCCATTGTCTTTAGAGTATTGTTCAAGTTTTCTTGATGCCCCAGGCTACCATCAGTCATTCACGTGCGCAAGTTGTCATATTCTGGCATAAGCTTCGTTTATATAAGGAACACTCTACACGGAGTAGCGCTTAGTTAAACTCTGTCAATAAAACTAAAACGATTCGGCGATGTTCATAGGTCGCGTGTGTCTTTGGTTCATGCTGGCAATGCCTGCATGGAGTCAAGCGAAGGAGGATGTTGGCCAGATGAGATTGAATATGCCCGGCTGGGATATGAACGAGCTGTATTCGCGTATAACAAGCGTGTTTAGCAATTCGCACAAACGGCAAAAAGTGCGCAGACCAGAGGCGGTGGATCCAGTTGCCATTGATGATTACTATAATAATTACTGGCAAAACTACTATTTGCAAAATCCGCCATATATTCAGTACGTGCCCCTGCCACGGCCGCCGCCAAGACCAAGGCCCTCACGCCGACCCCGACCCTCACGTCGACCTCGACCCACAACTACAAGAAGACCTGTGACTGCTCCAACCACTACAGCAACAACCTCAACCACCCGCGCCACAACAACAACAGGAACAACTGCAAGAACAACCACCGAACCACCCACAGACGCAACAACAACGCCGCGTACTTCTCCAAGGCCGTCCGCTGTACGCTTCAATAAGTTTTTTATGTCCATTGACAACTCCGATGATCTCCAGCCGGAGCAACAGTTGTCCGTGAAGACGCGGCCACAGTCGATGTCTTCTCTGTGCCATTACCATCCCGAGCTCTGCGATGAGCCTGAAAACGCGCACTTTATGGAATTAACAGATGAAAATGGTCATTCCTTCATACTGATATCTCCACCTACAACAACGCGAAAACCTTTTAGACTCGCCATGAAACCGACACGCCGACACTACAGTCAAAGCATATTTGATACGGACGACAATAGTATCTATAAGATGGCATCACACTATCAGGGCAGAAATGCAAACTCCCGTTTGGTGCCAAGACGTTCGCATAAAAGAGTATATAAAAAGCAATAAAGTTGAATACGGAAAGAGATGTAAATTATTTATGGATATATTGTAGTTAGATGGGATAAAAAACATTCATTGAATATAAACCACATAGTTCAGATCGTAATTAACAAGGCAAAACGTAAGCTGAATAAAAGTTTTGATAAATTTCTGATCAGTTCCGAGAAGTCTGTAGCAAATGAACTAAAAAGTTCTACTATATCTTATATTATACTTTATATATATATATTTAGATATGACCATAAATTTTCTTTCTGTCTTTTTACCAAGATGAGCTCATATTTATGGTAAAAGGACTATGATATATGAGCATCTATTCATAAGGTGTTTTGTTCGAGAAACTTTCATATTTCTGTATACAGCATAAACAAGTTTTTGGGCCATCAACGCTCATTTGCTGCCCAGTTGCCAGTCGTTAGCGAGCTGCAAGAGCAGCAGGTACTTAGAGCTTAAGCAATGCGGGCAACACGAATTATGCCATTATTTCCGCTGCTGCTGCCGCTGCTGCTGCTGCTGGTCGTGCGCAGCAGAGCCGAGACGCCGGACGCCGCACACCTCCAGCAAATACCTCAATTAAGCCACGAGCAGTTGGCCCTAATCGCAGGCAATGCAACAGCGCGCTGTCAGCTCGTGCCGCAGCTTTGCGATTGGCAGCTGCACCTGTACGAGGGGCATGCCTTCCAGGTGAGCTTACCGGAGAACGGACCCCAGCCAGATGAGCAGCAGCCCGGTGAGGCGCCCACGCAGCAACTGCTCTTCACAGTGCCCAGTGCTGAGCATGAGCAAATGCTGTTAATCTATGCGCAGGTGGAGCGGCAAGCGAAGCCCAGCTTAAAACCCAAAAACAAATCAAAGTCAAAGTCAGGGAAAAGAAAGCGTCGTCTTATGTCAACAAACTGAAAGACAGGTTCGAAAAATACCGTAAAGCACAATAAATCAAAACATGGAATAAGCAAAGACAAAACAAAATAAATAAAATCAAATAAACAAACCAATAAAAAAGTCTGAAGAGCTTAAGATTCATTATAGTTTATTTTGTTGTTTTTGTTTTTTATTTTATTATTTTTTTTATCTACCGCACCATTCAGTAGCAAATGCCTGGCGGCTGGTCCGATCACACGATAAATAATATCTATTTAGCTCATTAATGCCTAATTCACACCAAGTCGCGGAAGCCGTTCGACCGCTTTCAACTTTAACCTGTGACCACGCGACCTCTGGCTTAAAATACCAACAACAGCAACAACAACAACAACACTATCGCGTTTCTCAATCCTATGCCGCATTTAATTAGGTGTGAACCCTAAGCTCTTCTTTTCTATTTGTTCAATTAAATATTAATAAATTTTAGACCCACGAAGCGGCAATGTGAATGAAGAAGTCAAGAAGTCAGCTTAAGACCTTTGACAGCGCCAAAATTTACCTAAAAGGTCGTCCAAAAGTAACAAGAAAAACATCAACAATGTCTGATTCATTATCAAAGAGATTTGCATACGCAAAACTCTTGCCATAGAAATAGCTGAGAAAGCGCAAGTGAAACTCGTGAAAAAAGAAAATGTGAAAGACATTCATCAAATAATTAACAGCTCATTCAAAGCAAACAAATAAAATATTCATAATTTTGACATACTTTTGGGGCTTCTAGGAATAAGGGTATGTTTGGGGTAGGACTGAATGTTGGACTAAGACTCAAGACGACGTCTTGTTCTAGTTTGAGTTTCCAGAGTTTTGTTCTATATTTAAAAGACGAACTCATGAGACGATTGCCAACGAAATGTTTATATGTATATCATAATAAAGACAATATCAATAAATATATATACATATATGTATATTTCTATAAATTTCAACTAGATTTACACTCAGAAAATTGAATCTCAAATCATTAATTTTTCGTTTCATTAAAGCTCCTAAAGAGGTTTCTAACGAAGCAACCTCTACATATAATTTTTGTCACATTTCACATTACAAATCTTAAGATAAATAAAGTCTAAATTATTTCAGGGATACTTAAGTCTATATACTCATGATAATTCGACATTATATTTATATATTTAATTTTTTCCTCAATGCCAATTAAAGCCTACACCAAACATTTCATTACAGCTCCTCTCCCGAGTTCCTCTCCCACCACCGTTCCCACATTGTAATCTCAACTATTTAAGACTTGTTCTTGTACATTCAATCGTAAAAACGTATACAAGTGCGTATACAAACTGGTTAGATTGAACGGGCTTCACAACTTTTTAGCGTTCATTGTTGTAGTTTTACGATTATATTTTATTTTTTATTGCCCAGTGCGAAAAAAGAAGAAGAAGAAACATTCTGAAGAAGCATAAACTTACATGCTTGCGTTTGCTGGTAATCAACCCAAAGAGCTTGAAAAGCGGAAATTCAATTCAACGCTGGCCAAGCCAAACCCAACTTAGGAGCTAAAACCCCAAATACCCCATATCCACTCTCACTAAATTCACAATCTCCTATTCTAGCGCTCCAATCGCTGCTTCTGTCCGCATCCGTTGGGCTCTTTCGTCGTTGGCGTCGTCATCGTCAGCGATGCTATCATAGATCGTATTCAAAAATTTTCTAATTTCCGCATATGGTAGTATCTGCCACCAATTTGTCGTAGTTTCGATTTCCTGCTCATCAGTGGGTCGTCGCTTGCCCTTGCCTTTGGCTGCCTTTTGCCCCATTTTTCCGTTGTGCCCCTTTTGCCCCTTTGGCATTGGTTGGCGCTTGTCCTGTGAGCTGATTTCCGTTGTCGCCTTGACATCTGCTGTCTGTCCAACAGACGTCATCAGCTTTCGAGTCGGAGCTGGAGCCGGAGCTGGCACTGGAGTTGGAGTGGGTCCTGCTTTCGGCTTTGTATCAATTTCATTTGGTTTGTGTGTCTTTGTTTTCTGTGTTTTCGCTTGCGTTCGCTTACGCTTCGACTTCACTCGCAGAGGCTTATCTACTGCTGCTGCGACTGCTGGTACTTCAGCTCCAGCAGCACCAGCTTCTGGCTTGGACTCGAGCTTTGGCTCGCCCGACATATTCATGCCAGCTGCTGGGCCATCATTGTCATATTGGCTGTCATCTTTCTTGGCTGCATCCACAGCAGCAACGTGTGCGTCAGCAACATTTTGATCAGGCTTCGGATTCGGCTGCAACTGTAGTGCGACTGGCTCCAATTTCTCATCTTCTTTGTCCATTAGCTGCTCTAGCTTTGCTGCTGTCTGATGTTCTTTCATCTGTGTCTGCTTCTCAATTTGTTGCTGCTCCACTCTGTGCTGTTTCTTGAGTTGATCTAGCTTTAGCATCTGCTCTTGTGGCTCAACTTCCTTCTGCTGCTCCAGGTTATATTTATCTAGTTGCTGTGGATGCTCTATCTGCTGCTCTGCCTTGGTCACATTTCCAGCTGGATCTTCTCTCATCTGCTCTTGCATCACCTGACTCTGCTCCAGCTGTGTTTGTTCCCTTTCCACTGTTCCGCTGAGCTTCTGTTGCAGTTCTTCTTTCTTCTTAAGTTTTTCTTGTTCCTCTCTCATTAGTTCCCCCTGCTGTTTCTTCAAGTTGGACTGCTCTACCTCTGTCAACGGTCTGTCTATTTGCTGCAGCTCACTCTGTTCCATCTTCAGTTTCTCTTGCAGTTCCACTTGCTGCTGTCCCTCTTCATTTGCCTGCCCGTCTATCTGACCCAACTCCTGCTCGCTGTTCACCTGCTGCTGCTGCGTGTGCTCTTCCATCTGCCCCCGCTTAATGCCCAAGTGCTTCTGTAAGCCCTCGACCTCCACATGGTTCACATTTACAATAGTCTTCGACTGTTGTCCTGACTTTAGCTGCTCCCCCCTCTCTGCAGTTGTTGATGCCATTTCGATTGTTGTCGCATCATTTGTTCGCTTTTTGCTGTCGTCTGGCAGCTTCGCCAGTTTGTCCAACTCCTGAGCTGTTTCCATTTTGGCTAGCTGAGCTTTCATTGGGCTAATTGCTCGAGTGTTCGTCAAAACTTCGTTCGAATTGTCCGGCTTTGGCCGTGAGGTTGCCACCTCGTCTGCCCAGCGCTCAGGTAATGCCAATTTCAGATTCAATGGACTCTGCTGCTCCGGTTTCTCCAACTCTGGTGACTTCTCAACCGACTCCTTCTGCTTGTCACCTCCCAGTGTATTTATAATCACAATTTTCTTCTTGCCCTTGTCCTGGACATGAAATTCGTGTGAATATAATTTCAAATTCATTTGCATCTGCGCCAATTCACTATTGAGAGCAGCTAATGAGGCTGGATCCATGCTGCCCGTAGATTCTCGACTCGAATCGAGGTTTCTGTATTCAGTTCTGGGCACTTCGCTCACTCGACTGCTCAGCGCGATCTGCTCCAGCAGCCGACCCACGGGTAGAGCCTGGCCAGACCTGGGCAAGTGCTTCACCAGGTTCACCACGGGCTTGTTGTAAGCATAGGCATCCACGTTGAAGGTTCCATGAGCGGGAGCACGTTTCCAATGTTTTCGTTTTACCTGGCTAAAATGCGTCGCAGCTATATTAGAGATTATTAACTTATTAATTCTGAGAGAACTTTCACTGGAATATCTTGTTTTGCCTTACATGTTGCCAGGCTGACGATGATCGCCAAAGTTAACGTTAATGTTATGGGTAGCAACATAATTTCGGGCCTTCCCGTCTGTCTGTCAGCGAACTAAACCGATTTTTCGGCATTCACGCACATTTTATCGCCTTTCAATTTGGGTCAATCGAGGCGTGGGGCCTAATTTGCATGCCAAATGTTCTCAGAATGTGAAAACATTGTCAAAATAGACACACAACAGCAGCAACGAAAAAACTGGTTCCGCAAATGGTCAAAAGCAACGGCAATTCTGCTAGCTGTTTTTTGTTATTTGAATAGGCGTCACACTGAGAGGAATTGCGAGTGACTAAATGCCTACATTGAATGATATGTGATGAAAGATCTTTAACTAAATCAATAATCTACAAAACAAAAGTTAAACTGGTGTATACACTGAGAAAAAATTGGAATACAAAGTTCTTTTATATTTTATATATGTATGTACTCAATAAAAAACTCATTAATTTTCAGAACATTTTTTTTACTATTTACTCCACGATTTCTCTCAGTGCACTTCTGTTAACTCTGATGTTGATCATAAAAGACGATTGTTATGGTCACAATAAATGGCGGACACGCTGCTGACCTGTCGCAGGGCCTTGACCAATTTGCCTTTTATGCGTAGCTTAAAATCTTAATAAAGAGCCAAGAGGCAAGCGTCAAACGACGTCCGACGAGCGAAAGGTGAAAGTTCAGATTAACATATCAAAGCTGAAAGAGATGCGTGTGTATGTATGTATGTATGTAGATATAATGCGCTGGCAAAAGGAAAGTAAGTGGCAAGCGATTCGAGAAGATAAATTGAATTTATTGTGTGACAGGAATACCCCTACTGCAGTTGCAATTCAATTTCGATGGCATTTTGGGAATTTATATTTCTCTATGAGAACATGTCAAAAGCAGTTGAAACAAAATAAAGAAAACCCCAAAAATAAACTCGAAAAAAAGAAACTGTGACGAGAGCAACGCAAAACGAAAAGAAAACGAAAAGCAAAGCAAACGGAGTGACAGTCTGCACTTAGAGCACTTAAGATAACTGTATCTTGAGACAAGTGCAGGGTCCCAGGTCCAGGAGCTGATGATGATGTCCACAGTGGAATGAAGATTTATGAAAACTGTTGACAGTTAGCTCTGTGAACCGTAAACAGTGGGCCGCAGCGCAACCAAACGAAATTTACATGCGGACAATGGTGCAGACAGCAAGAATGGCGAATGCCAATGAATGCAACGACATAATGCAAAACGAAAGGAGCAAGAACATAACTCTAAATATTCGCACAATAAATACCCTAGCAATGGTGTTCATGAACAACAGCCTTTATTATCTTTGTAGACTCGCACATTAAATAATCTTGCGATAAATTGTTACATATAAAAATTGTTGCCATATAGCGTTGGCTGTGATCATTATTCTGGTTATTCTCGTTAAACATATCACATATAATCATACATATATAATTCTGTTATTATACCCAACATAAATAAACAGTATCATTTTATATATAGCTGTAATAAATATTTATATTTAATCTATAAACTCTTAAAATTCAATTTCAATATACCCGCTTTATGCATTTGCATTGCGCGCGTGGTATGAAAACTACGATAGAAAGAAAAGAGGCAGTAAATGACAGACAGATAGACAGCATAACGGACGAGCACAAAGGCGCTTGCTCGCCTATGCAAGAGTGAGCGAGACGAAGATAGAGTGAGGCTGAATGCAAAAATGCCAAGTTGCAAAAGGAGCGCAAACAAAAGGCATAAATGAAACACTTAAATATGCTTGATTTTTTTCTTTTTTCGTTGCTACAATGATTTGCTGACAGTGTTTGGCTATTCAATTACATAAATGTATAACGAATAGATCTAAATAGGACTTACCCCCACATTTGAACACTCTTAATTAATTAATTTTATACAAACATTTCACTTCACTTCACAAACGCGCAATTACTAAACGCTAAAAAGACAATTGTGAGGAGAATGCGTTAGGTACCGATGGCTGGCTAATTGATATCGTATTAAATTGCACGCCAACATATTGCTTGACACGAAAATGCAGTCTGCAGTATATGCATGATAAATAAATTAGTCAATAAGGAATCATATTTTACTTTATGTATATATGTATATTAATTTAGCTATATATTGCATGCCAACACGTGCAAAATAGAAATATAAAATTGTTGCATATCCAATCGGCAAAAACACTGGCTGATCCTCGCTGGCTGCTGAAGCTCACGCACGTATCGATATTATTGGCTCAGCAATCGATAGCTGTATCGCGTTGAGTAGTTTATCTTCTGCAGTGACCGCGTAAAGTTGTGAAATTTTCTTATTGTGCAAAGTTTTCCTATATTTTGTTTTCTTTTTTTTTTTTCAAGTGAATTGTGTTGTGTTATCTGTGTAGTGTTGGCAAAGTTAAAAGTGTATTTAAGGTAAGTAACTTTTGTGGCATTGTTGGCATAAAACTTTTGCCGCTTAAGCACTGGAAAGTGACGGCAATCAGTGGCGTTGTTCTTGTTGTTGCCTGCAAATTCTTCCAGGCAACTGGAAGACAGCGCGAGCGAGCGCCGTTCCCAGTCGCCTATGCAAATACCGTAAGAGGCAAGGGTGCAAAAGTTAAATGGATAAAGAACGGGGAAAGCGCATGAGACAATTAAGCGCAGTGTCTTCATTAAGCAACAACAGCAAAGAGTAACGGCTGAAAGTGTGGGTGTGGTGAACAACTGATTGACTCGAAGACACCCTATAGGCAGACTTGGCGAATGGCATTGAATATTCAATATTAACTTATTTTTGCATAGTATATGCAATTTTTGAAGAATTTAAAGTATTTATTAATATTATTAATGGACTTTAATGTTTAACTTAAAAATTGCTTAAATTTGTCTTAAAATTGTGCGTAAACAGGTCGACACACATATATAAGTCAACTCATCTGCCCTAGCATCAATATACCCCACTTGCGTTGCCAACTGGGTATATTGGCAATGGAATTGTAATTGAAAGTGGGCGTTGTTTGTTGGCTGTGTGGGCGTAGACATGCAGGAACATGCTCAATCCACTTGTGGCTTATACCATTATTTATTCGATTGCAAACTTTAAAGATCGACAGAGCTTCAAGGACTTGAATTTCCAGTTGCTTTTATATTGTTGCTGTTGCCGTTGCTCTTGCTGTTGTTGTTCTTGTTGTTGTTGAAGTGCAAATGCAAACAATTTACTTTGTCATTAGACGAACAATTTGAGCACCACTCACTCTATATATAGGCCACGCCCTCTCTGTCCATCCGTCCATCTGCCATCTGCCCATCTGCAGTTCTCAGTCTTTGTTATCCGTTTGTCAATTGCTCTGGTTCGCTCTGTTGCCTGCTCATTTGACTATTTCCAATGTCAGATTCGCTTTTTATTTTGCATTTTGCTATTTATTTATTTATTTCTGTTTGTGCTGCTCTGCTTGGGTTTTATTTTTCGGACATTCAGTTGTTGCATTTTATGAGAAGAGCAATAACAAAGTGAGCAGAAAACATGATGAAATGAGCAAGTTGTTGAAGATAGACTAGTGGATACCCTGTAAACATTTGAGAGCTGTTCAGTTTATAGAAATATATATGCAGTGCAATATAAAGAGAGAAAACGCCTTCAAATCAATTGAGACTGTGCTTCTAACCTAATTTATCTACAGATACATATCTGCAGTAAAATACCCTCTATATTGGCTACAGGGTATACCAAGCCGATAAAATCCATTCACAGTATTTTGCACATTTTCGTTTAATTTGAATTTCTCTATGCAAATGCCAAGCCAAAGAAAAAAAAATCGAATGCAATTTTTTTGTTGCTCTCGTTTTTAGCAAATTTTCGGTTCTGTGCCAAATTGTTATTGCAATTTTCTTTGTGTCTCTTGTGCACTTTTTGCAGTTCCCCACCCCATCCTTATATGCAGCTCTGCAGCTCTCGCGGTTCATTGCGTCTGTCCTTTATATGATATTCGCATTTTAGTGAATACCCCCCACCCGCTCTCGCTCCATAAACTTCAAACATGCTTTTGATGAGTCGCTTGTAAAGCTTGCCACAACCTGCTGCAAATTGTTAAAATATTTGGTATGGCGACAAAATGGAATTGCATCAAAATTTCATTGAAAAGTAGGTAATATACATACATAAGGAAGGTGAAGGAAAAGACAACGAAGAAGAGAGAGGGACTAAATAAATGAGTTTAAATGAGTGTGGTAGTAGATTTTACAGTAAAAAAACACGAGGAGAGCTTGTTTACCTAATAAGCTGCAATTACTTAATACAGCGAGAATATTATTGTTGTAGTAATTATTTATTATAATTTAAAATAATTTCATTAGATAAGTTTATCCACTATTCGCTTAATCCTTTATTCGATCTCTTCAACTCGTACAAATTGGTATTAATTTTCGCTTAATGCTTTTCAATTTCAGTTTTGGAAAATATTGCCGTTATTGTTGGGCAACAACAAAATGGAAGCAAACGGCTGCATGGCTTAATGGATGAGAGCGCTAATCAAATTGGCCTGGCTAATTGTTATGCAAAAACCGAAATCAGGCTCCACGAATAACAATCGATGGCCATAAAGCTGGCCTGCGGCTGCAGGATAAACGATGCTTTGATTTAGTGCAAGGACAACAACAACGAGGATAACAATAGCAGCATAATAAAATAAAACAAAGCCTAATGCCAGCCCAGCAGGAGGAGGAGGCAGGAGGAGCAAAGCGGAGCAACTGGAGGAGCTCAACTTTATGAGCAACATAAAAATCCGTTTCTTTGTCACGCTCACAGTTCATCCTCGATTCCGAAGCGGACGCGGCCGGAATGTCAAATGACAAACTTCTCAATATATATACACATAGATATATATATATATGTATACGTATATATATTTAGCCAACCGAGGCCGCACAGTGCGTATACGTAATGTATTGAGACGGCTTCTGCGCAATTTATGCACGCCACAAATTTCATAGTTGTATGCGTTAGGACTAAGCCAACTTGTTGCCGCGCTTTCAGTTTTTGGCTTTCGCACCTAATGCCACATCAATATGCAAAGCCAGCCAATTTCGATGGTACGGGTAGTTGCAGACCCTCAGCTAAGCTGCTTTAAAACTTAAAGTTCATTTAACTTTTGCAATCATCCATTTGAGGCGGGAGCCAGACAAGCCCA